GTTTCTCGTGCCTAGGCGGTCGTGTGTGCCAAGTTTCGTGCCAATCCGACGCCGTTTGGTGATTTTGGGGTGTTAACACCTCGAATTCAAGTTTCTTAAGGAAGTAGTTTAAAGTACTGGGAGCACGAATTTCACGCTCGAGCGCCAGTCACCCTGCTCGAGCGTGAGTTCAAAATCTGGAATTCCCAGATTTGAACCTCAAGCTCAAATTCAACTTTTAAAACATAAATTTCGATCCTCTTGGGCCAATTTTCCAGAAAACATCCCAAAACTCATAGTTTAACATGATTCCAAAGCTCAATTGTAAAATCAAAGCCCAAGGGTGTTTCAAACAACTCAATTTCAAACCAATTTTCAAGAATATAATTCAAACATAACATGCATGAATTTAAACCATTTCAAAGCTTCAATTTCATGCTCTAATGAGCCAATTCTTTCAAAGACAAGGTGAAAACATGGTTTATGATCAAAACATGGACATGCATGTGGCAAGTTCATGAAGAACAAGCTCTAAAATGCAATATTATGCCATGCATGCAATAATTAAGCTTCAATTCAACACTATTGAACCAATTCTTGACTTAACTCTTTAAACTACCATGATCCATGCTAGAAGGAACTTAAATACACAATAAGGATGATGAAATTCATACCTAGGTTCCTCAATTACAAGTCTAGAGGCTCAATTATGCACTTAAGCTTTCAATTTCCCTAAGCCTCCAAGCAAAATCAAGATGAAAACAAGTTGAACTCACTTCTCTCACTCTCCCTCACTCTCTAGCCGGTTATACACTCAACAAGGCTGATGAAATGTACAAAATAGAATAAAGGCAAGTCTCAAAATGTATAAGGTAGTGGCCACTAAGTGGCATTAATGTAATTAAGTCAAACTATGCAATTTAACATCATTTAGCCTAATTTAATCATACCGAATCGATTTTCAGATAATTACACCATTAAATCACATAAATTCTACTGATCATGAAACACTAATCAATTTCTGGTTCGGCCGCCGATAAGGCCTTCAATTTGTAATTAAACACAAAGGCATGAATAGATAATCAAACAGTCAACAGATAGACATACAATTAAACAGATATACTTAATCAATTCAGTTCCAGATTTTAGTCAGTCAGTTTAGTACTTCAATCAATTCAGTTTAGTACTTCAATCAATTCAGTTACCAATCATAATCAATCTCAGTTCAGCAATAATCAGTGGTTAATTAGTAAACAGTGACGAGTGTTGTTACAGAAGTACTAAATAAGTTTTTTTTTTATTTTTTTTTTACAAAAAAAATATAGAAAAGTAACAAGTTGATATAACTTAAAAAAAAGAAGATAAAAAAAGTGTGTTATATTAAGGGGTGTTTGGAGTGATTTAAATAAATGTATTTTTTAACTTTTTACAAAAAGATATATAGAAAACTAAAAAATAATATGCCAAATAAATGCACTTATCTAAATAAGTACACTTATATTAGTTTATGTCAAATAGTGTCACCACTTAGCAAACAACCCTTAACATTAACAACATTATTAACAAATAAAAAAAGTACTAAAATAATCAATTTGTTTGGTTTGGATTTTCAGGATTCAATTTTTAAAAAAATTGAAAATTTTTTTTTCATTTTTTTTTTACTGAATTTTTTTCATATTCTAAGATTTTTTATTTTTTTTATTTTTAGATAAACCTAACATAAATACATTTAAAAAGTATAATATTTATGAAAAAAAATCTTTACAAAATTCACTAAATATCAAAAATATTAAAAAAAAAAGAATTCACTACATTTTTCGTATTCTTGTATATTTATTAATTTTTTAAAATATTTTTTTTACAAATATTTTATTTTTTAGATACATTTAAGTAAGGTGAATCTTAAAAAATAAAAATAAAAATAAAAAAACTTTAAAATTTAAAATATTCATTAAAAATTAAAAAAAAATGTGAAAAATAAAAAATTTAATTTTTAAAAATTTAATTTAAAAAATTGAAACCAAACATAAATATTGTTTTTAAAAGGGTTCGAAGCCAAGCCATAATACCCCAAAACCACCTAAGAACTTCTCCGGAAACCGGGTGTGGTGCCCAAGGATTGTAGCGTTCCCCTGCAACCACAAACCGCTTGCAATCATTTTCATCACCACCAGCAAACTCGCCACGTCAAACAACAAACGATATTCCCTATCCAAATCATTAATCCACAAACTTCCTATCATAGACCGACACGCAGCATATCACTCTTTCAATTTTCCTTGCCAATCACGTTTAGGCCAAGTTTGGCTACAAAGAAAAAAAATGTACTTATTTCATCTTTTTATCTTTTTTAAGTCACATCAATCAACATCTTCTCTCTACTTTTTCTACACATAATACAAAAAAAGTCAAAAAGTGCACTTATTTAGTCTTTTCAAATTAGGCCTTAGTCCGTGTGAACACCACGATCCAAATTAATTAAAAAACTCTAATTAATTACAATCCTCTCTCACAAAAAAAGCCAAAAAAGCCAAAAAGTCAAAAAACCCTTCCTAAACCAGGCTAAAATAGCCAAAAAGTCAACCCACATCCCAAACGGAGACTTAGTCCCTGTGAACACTATGATCCAAATTAATTAATTAAATAATATTATATGTATTAATTAACTAATGTATCGATTGAATATATGATATAATTTTAAAAAAAATTAAATTTTATAATTTATATAATAAGTGAAATTAAAAATAATATCATAATTAATATTGATATTTTTATTAATATATTAATTGATATATGTAGCACTAATTAATTATTAGGATTAAACCTGTTTGTTTCCACTCAATTTACTGTACGCGTAGCTCTGCACCTCTATATATATAGATACAGAGAGAGAGAGACACCACCACCATCGAGTCATCACCGAGTTCAGACAATGTTCTCTACCTCCGGTATCCCGTCGGCGGCGTCGACACTTTTCTCAGCCTACGCCTCTTTCGCCGGCACCATGATGCTGGTCCGATCCATGGCCAACGATCTCGTTCCCAGCCCGGTCCGATCGTACCTCAACTCGGCTCTCCGATACCTCTTCACACCGCTCTCGACTCAGCTCACCATTGTCGTCGACGAGCACTGCGGAATCACCCGCAACCAAGTCTACGACGCCGCGGAGGTCTACCTCCGCACCAAAATCAACCCCAACACCGAGCGATTGAAAGTCGGCAAGACTTCGAGGCAAAAAAACCTCAACATCAGCATCGAGAAAGGCGAAGAAATCATCGACAAGTTCGAGAACATCCAATTCAGCTGGAGATTCGTCTCGATCGAGCCCCAAAACGGCCACGCCGTCGGAGAGAAGAGGTTATTCGAGCTAAGCTTCAACAAAAAGTTCAAGGACAGAGCTCTGAACGAGTATTTGCCTTTTGTTTTGGCTAAATACAAGGAAATCAAGGATAATGACAAGGTCGTGAAGCTTTACACTAGAGATTGTCCGTACAGCGACGACGACGATGGCGATGGAGGAGGAGGAGGGGTTTGGGGATCGATCAATCTAGAACATCCGGCTACGTTCGAGACGCTGGCGATGGATCCAGAGATGAAAAAAGCGATAATTGATGACTTGGAGAGGTTTGTGAGGAGGAAGGAGTTCTACAAGAAGGTAGGGAAGGCTTGGAAGAGAGGTTACTTGTTATATGGTCCGCCTGGTACTGGTAAATCGAGCTTGATCGCTGCCATGGCGAATTATCTTAGATTTGATATCTATGATTTGGAGCTTACGAGTTTGTACTCGAATTCAGAGCTGAGGAGGATATTGGTTTCAACGACGAATCGATCGATAATTGTGATTGAAGATATAGATTGCAGTGTGGAGATGCAAGATCGGCTGATGGCGGTTGAGCCTGGACTTCCCAACACCAAGGTTAGGAAACTGTTTTCATTAACCCCTGTTTTGTTTTTTGTTTTTTTATTTTTTTATTTTTATTTGTGAATATAAAATTGACTCTTAATTAATTAGTAGAATTTATTTTTTATTTTTTATTTTTTATTTTTTAAAGAAACACACTCACCTTTTATGAACAAATTTTAGATACAGCAAATTACATGTATTTATTTATTTATTTATTAATCTTGAGTGCCGCAACGAATTGAAGATAAAACTTTTAAACATGTTTATTAGAATAGATGAGATTGAACTATATGCGTTACAAAATCTTTCTTTTTTGAGTTACATATATTTATTTATTTAGTAAGAATTTGACTGGGAAGATGATCATGGATACAAAATGCCAGATTAAGAGAAGAGAAATGATAAGAATTTTAAATATTTTATTAATATTTTTATTAAATGTTTTATATGAGTGTCACACTCATATAAAACTTATGCAATCTTACATTTATGTAAAATATTTGATAAAAATATTAATAAAACATTTGTAATTCATAATATTTTTTTTAAGAGAATTCAGGCAAAATAATGAAAATGGCGTGTCTAAGAGCATCTCCAACCCATCCTTCAAAACTTCAAATATGAAGGATCCTTTCTAATTTTGAGCTCCAACCCATCCTTCATTTCTTCCTCCCAAATGAAGGAAGATGGATTGATCCTTCAAATATGAAGGGAGGATGAACAAAATGAAGGAGCCTCTAAAACACTATTCACTCTACATTTCTTATTATATTCAAAATAACTTTTAATATGTAAATTTAATTTTTATAAAATTGACATCAATAAAAAATATAAAATCATACCTTTAAAATGAGTATAATATTAAATATATTTTACAAAAATTTTAAAATTAAATATTTATTAATGAACAAAAATTACTTTTTGATTGGAGTTTGAATGAAGAAAATGAAGATTTGTGGTTGGAGTTTGAATGAATAGTGACCTCCTCTATATTTACTTTTTGAATAAAAAATATTATTTTCATCCTCTTAAGAAGAGAATGTGGTTGGAGATGCTCTAAGATTTTGTTTAGAAATTATATATTTTAGTTGATTTTTTTTGAGTTTTTATAAAAAAAGACATGTAAAAAATAAAGAGTTTTTTGTGAAAATTTATAATAATTTTTTAATTATAAACTTATGTTGTGGAACGAAATCTAATGATTCCAAACAAATACGGGATAAGATAAGATTGTGCTAATATTGATCTCTGGTAGAGGATATGATTCGTAAGGGATAAGTAACCCATTTCTTTTGTCCTCAGGGATTTGTTTTGGGCAAATTATCATCACTGCGCGAGGTTGGACTAAAATAGGAATTTTTTGAGATTTGAAAAATTATATCCCGTCTCCTGAGATTTGCATAACAAATTGTCTTATGAGGTTTATAATTACATAATAAATTGTCTCCTTATTTGTTATGTAAATATAAATTTTAAAGGATATTTTATAATTTCTCAAACCTCAAAAAAAAATTCGTATTTTAGTTAAATCTCGAGGGATATTGGTAATTTGCTTATTTGTTTTTTTGTCGGCCTTATCTTAAGGGATAAGTAAACATGTGAATTGTTGGATGAGGAATTATTTAAAATAAAAATAAAAATCCCGGATTAGGAAGAAAAAAAAAAGCTTCATGCTAATTTTTTTGGATTTTTTACGAAATTGTGTAAAAAAATTAGAGAAATGTGTAAAAAAATTAGAGAAATGAGTATTTTGAAAAGATGGTTAAAAAATGACTTTTGATTCTTTACCAAGTTTTTTGGCTTTTTTTTTAAAAGTGATTTGGAAAATTAATAAAAAGTTACTTTGTATTTTTTTGGTTAATATTTATTTATGATGTCACTTCATAATAGAATGGCCAAACTATCCCCACTTAATTTAGTAAATTTACATTATCACTCAGGTATAACCTTAAATAATATAAAAGGTATAATTGTAATTTCATACATAACTTTTTTAGACTTCCTAAATGACTCCATAACTAAAAAAGCCATTTGCAAAGGCAGCTGTTAATCCAAGTTGCCAAAAGATCACAAAATGATGCAATAATTTATAATAATTTCTTGATCTTTTGGCTAAAACTTATAGCCCCAAACAAATCATTAATCTCATATGCTTTGTACTGTTTTGGCTGCAGTTGACACTCTCAGGCTTGTTAAATTTCATAGATGGCCTATGGTCAAGCTGTGGAGATGAGCGGATCATCATTTTCACCACCAACCACAAAGACCGAATCGACCCTGCCCTTCTCCGCCCTGGTCGCATGGACATGCACATTCACATGTCCTACTGTACAAATCAAGGATTCAAGCGCCTGGCTTCCAATTACCTCGGTGTCCATGATCACCACCGGCTCCTCCCTGAGATAGAAGGCCTAATAGAAAATGCAAAGGTCACCCCTGCCGAAGTTGCAGAGGAACTCATGAAGAGCGAAAATGCTGATATTGCTCTTGGAGGAGTTGTGAATTTTCTCAAGCGCAAGAAGATGGAAGCGGATGAAATCAAGGAAGAGAAAACCAGGGGAGTTGAAGTGCAGGAAGAGAAAAGATTGAAAGTAGAAGAGATAAGAAGGAAGTCTGTGAGAAACATTGGAAGGAGGGTAGTTAGAGGAGGAAAATGTAGGCGTTGGTGAAGTGAAATTTCTCACTAACTTGTATTTGTATCAATATAAAAGCTATTTATCATACTACTATGACCTTCCCATTGAAGAAACCCTCTTTATTTGAGAATGTATGTTTGGTCCTTGTTTGTGCAAGATCGACAGATACGGACCAATGTTTGTATAAGAAAATATTTTGTAGCAAACGGTTAGGTTATTGGGTGGTCTTGAAATAATGCTCTACACAATTCATTGAATGATATTTATCGCTTTTAAAAATCAAATCTGAAAGTGATGAAACTTAAGGCTGGTTTGGCAAATGGGTTGGGGCTAAATTAACTTATTAAAAGATAAAATAGACACAATTATCAAATAAATTATAAAAAAAAATAAAAAAAATAAAAAGAAGGTTAAAAGTTAATCCCAAATAATAGAATCTTAGCGTATATCCATTTACATAAGAATAATAACAATAATAAAGTATTGCTGTATTAATTATTAAAATAAGATATTAAAGTTGTGTTTGATACTCTTTTGATAGCATAAAACATACATCATAAGAAAGTTTAAATGAATGATGACATGGACCTTGTGCTAACGGAAGACATAACACATCATGTAAGTATTAGAGTATGTCTTGAATTGATTTTTTTTAATGACTTTTATTTTATTTTTTTAAAAAAATTATATAAAAAATAAGTAAGGTTAGAGCATCTCCAATGTTATTGTTATAATTTGGTAATGAATAGTAGTAAATTGTCAAATTATAGTAATGGTACTCCAATGGTTACATGTCATTTTGATAAATCTCAATCAACTTTTCCCTCCAATGTAACCTTTGTTGAACTTTTTTTAAAAAAATTAAATATTTACATTATACTCGACTAGACAAATTAAAAAAAATTGAAAAAATATATTATATATATATATAATTCTCCTCACCAAAAAAACATACGACTACAAAATTTTTATAAAAAAAAACATTAATTACATTAAAATTACATGAACCACTAAATTACATTGCAAAATAAAAACTATATTTAAAAATAAATAATAAAAATTACATTGACAAATAAATGACACTGTAAATTCAAAAATACATTACAAAATAAATGACATTGCCTAATGGCTCTTTTTCATTTCCAAGACACCATCACCACCGTTCACCTAACTACAATCACGATTAAGATCAAGCATTTGGAAGCATCCCCTTTATGCATTCCAAGACATCCCCTTTCTCTCGTGTTCGGATCCCCTAGAGTTTTTTTTCCTAAAGTGATCTCTAGAGTGGTTCAATGTGGTGCGACACCTGTCCCACTTGAGTAACCAAGGGCTGAGATAAATTCCTCTTAAAAACGACGTTGTTTTGGTAATGAAATTCAAAAAATAAATAAATCTTCCTTTAGTTTCAGTTTCAGAACGAAACTGTAAGTAAGAGAAAGAGAGGAAGAGGAGGAGGAGAAGGAGGAGGAGGAGAGAGAGGAGGGGTTGAGCAAGAAACCAAGAGTTTGCCGCCAAAAGCAGTACAAAATGAAAGGCCAAATCTTGATTTTGGTTGGAAAGTAATTAAAAAAACAAATTGATGACCCAATTTTTCTGTGGGTTTGATTTCAATTTTTCAAATCTAGGTTTGATGTCAAACAAATTGATGACTCAATTTATTTTTGTTTGAAACATAAAATGAAAAGCAATTAATCTGGCCCTTTACACCTCTCTCTCTTCTTCCTCTTCCTTCTTCTTTCCTTTTCATGCCGCCAGCCGGCCGCCGCTCCTCTTCTCGCCTCTAACTTAGCTAGCAATCCAAAACCTCAAAAGTATTACAAAAACATAAACACAAAGGCCAACATAACTCACAACTTTTGAACTGTATATCAAGATTTACAACAAGAAAAACATAGAACCCAAACAACATTTCAACCAATCGAGACGATAAACAACCGAACTATAGATTCAAGAAAGAACAAAATAAATAAATAAATAGAATAGGTTTATTCCAAGGAAAATGGATGTGTATTCCAAGATCAAACTTGCTAACCTACCAAATCAAGATCCATGGATTTATTAGATCTTCATTTTCCCCCTAAAAACTAAAACCCATTGAAGAAACTGGTCGAAACAACACCTCCAAAATCTAAGAAACCAAACAGATCAAGAACACCAATACCTATGAGTCCGTCTCAGATGAAGAACATGAAAAAGAAAAAAAAGAAGATGAGAGAGAAGAAAGGAAGGAGGAGAGAAGGGGACGACAGTGGGTGGTGTGGGTTTGGGCGATGGTAAGAAGATGAGGAGAAAATATGGCTAGAGATGGGTGGTGGGCAATCGGGAAATCTGCAACTTTGGATTTTTTTATTTTTTATTTTTTTGGTCCTGTATACCCTACCAAAACGATGTCGTTTTGGTGGGTGATTGATCTCAGCCATTAGCTCTGTTAGTGGGACAAATGTCGCGCTATAAAGCATCACTCTAGAGATCATTTTAGGAAAAAAAACTCTAGACGATCCGAACGCCTTTCTCTCTTGTATCCAAACCAATGTTGTTGAGAGCTTCTGTGTGTGTGTGTGTGTGGTGTTCCATCTTCATCCATAGCAGAGGCTAAGATGGGATCGAACAGTAGAAAACCCAATGTTGCCGACTCATCATCATCGTCCTCATCGAACTCGTCGTCTATTGTTCGGAAGAGTCGATCCAAAGGAATTAGAGTGTTCCAATCTTCATGTCTTGGTCCCTCCTCTGGATCTCCTGACGATGACAATGATGACGAACAGGTCACTTTATATGTGCCTTCTCAATTCTCTATAAATATTTGGTATTTTGACCTGTTGTTATATTGTTAAGTATTGTTTTTGCCATATTTATGATTGTCTAAGTGGGTTTGTTTGGAATTGGGTTATTAATGCAGAATACAAATTTTATAAAATTTTGAGTTTTGATTGAAGAACAAATTAAAAATTATAAACATTAATAACCTTTATATAAAAATAAGCCTTCTCAAATTATAAATGGTGAACATTTTGTGATTAAAAAAAATGGTGAATTTTGCAAGAAAAAAATCAAAGATATTGAGAGATTTTCCTGATGAATGCATTTTTGTTTTTTCAACTGATTTGGAGCCAAAAATCTGTTGATCTTTGATGATGTGACATGCTTGGCACCTGCTATTCTTCCTGTCAAATTTGACAACAGAAATGACATCTACTATATTTGGCAATAAGAATAGTAGGCTATTGGATATCCCTTCTTTGTTACTCTTGCCAAATTATAATTTTGACAGTTTCTCTGATAACTCTATTGAAGATGCTATAATTTGACAGTTTATAATTACTTTTTAATTTTTTTACTAGAAAGTTGGCCACTGCTATTAGGAGGCAAATAAGTGCGCTGCCTTGCTAGCCAACTTGGGGAACCACATGACCTTAGTAGTCAAAAAAGTCGAGCACTGCTATAAGGAGGCAGATGAGTACGTTGACTTGCTAGCCAACTTGGAAAACCACATGACCTTAGGGCTGGTTTGGCATGTTATAAAAAAGGTAAAAAGTCAAAAAGTTACTAAAAAAACAAAAAAAGTTATCACTATTCACAAATTAAAAATATAAAAAAATTAATTTACACAAAAAAAGTACAATCCAACTTTACACAGGTGATGGTACTGAAGTGACGGGGAAAATTACACAGGTGCGCTGTGATGGTATAAATTACAAATTAAATATATATATTCATTAAGTTAGAGGGTACTGTTGGGCCTGTAGGGGCCCACCACGGGTTCTATTTTGATAATCCGAAGCATTCAATGTGTAGAACTCGTTGAGTACTATATGCCTGTAAAAAATCACGTTGATCGGATATGGATAACTATGTGATCAAATCAGATTTTTGTCGGCCATTTATTTTTCACCGTCATTTTTTTCATACAAAACTGTTTTGATCAAATAGCTATCGATATTCGATCAACGTGATTTTTTATAGGCATATAATACTCAACGATTTGTACACATTGAACGGTTCCAATATCAAAATGGGAGCCGTGGTGGGCTCTTAAGGGCCGAACAACGCCGTCTAATTCAATCTTGGACTGTAGGCAATCTGCTCCTACACTTGTTTCCTACCTACTGTCTGGGTTCCTAGACAATCCAAGTCAGCAGGCAATTCATTATAGTAGGGGTAAAATGGTAATTTTACTATTTTATACTATGTTTTAATACACATTTTTTCGTAGAAAGTCAAAAAGTTATCTCAAACAACCATATATTTTCTCCTCTACGTTTTAGTCCAAAAAATTAAAAAATACACTTATTTAGGACATCCCAAATAACCCCTGACCTTAGTAGTTAAAAAAGTCGGCCACTGCTATTAGGAGGCAAATAAGTACAATGACTTGCTAGCCAATTTGGGGAACCACATGACCTTAGTAATCCTATTTTTAGGTTTTGTTTGGAAAGTGTGTCAATTTTTTTAATTTTTTTGACTTTTTTTTTTGTTTTTTGGAGTTAAAAAATTTGTTTGAGTTGAGTTTTTTTTACTTTTGTATGGGGATTTTTTTTTAAAGTCCCTGGTATTAAGATTTTATAGCATAAAGGATACTCAATATTTTCATAATGTCTAAGGTCCCTCAATATTGATCTAGAGAAAATTCGATCTAGAGAATTTCTCTAGACGAATTTTCTCTGGACTTTACAGAGAAATTCTAGTTCACAGAGATTTTCTCTGGTCCAATTTTCTCTGGACTTCACAGAGAATTTCTCTAGATGAATTTTCTCTGGACTTCATAGAGAAATTCTGGTTCACAAAGAATTTCTCTGGTTAAATTTTCTCTGAACTTCACAGAGAAATTCTGGTTCACAAGGCTTCATTATTATTGAGAATTTCTCTAGACTATAAATTTGAATTGTTGAGAATTTCTCTGGACTATAAATCTGTAATTTATTGCAGGGTGCATTCACAAGGCTCCATCTATCATCTTTCATACTAGAGAAAATTGAAATTTCTCTGAGTACCAAAGAAATCTAGAGAAAATTTGTATGGCTTTGTGTGCCTCTATCCAAAGAAATTTGTGTTAGAGAAAATTTATGTGGTTTTGTGTGGCTCTATCCAGAGAAAATTGTGTAGAGAAAATCTATATAGTTTTGTGTAGCTCTATCCAGAGAAATTTGCAAGCTCTATCCAGAGAAAATTGTGTTAGAGAAAATTTTTGTGACTTTGTGTGGCT